TGGTTGGATTTAAGCAGAAGTGATATCATAGAACACAGAGTATGCAAAATTGACAGGTTTATCTTGTGGTTTGGGACTGACCTCAAGTCTCCCATTGACTTCCATGAGTTTTGGATTGTGTTCCTTTTGATAATTTTTAAATAGTTTTGACTTTAGGTATCAAAAAGAACATTGATGCAAACACAATAATATACACAACAACTTATGTCAATAGCTATTAAAAAATATTGTTAAAATTTACAGATTAGATTTAAAGCAGATAGTTTATCATTGTATTAAAAGAGGGTAGAGCTATTTTCTCCTCCCTATGTTTGTTTGTTCTCTTTTTTTCATGGTCCATCAGTATCATCTCAGAAACATTCTGAATGTTACAGTGACAGGTTTCTCTTCCCATATTTCCTGGTGTTTGGTATAGCACAGAAAAACATCATCAAGTTGTGACATTTTTAAAGAATGTATAAAACCATAACATTTGAATATGTACATTTGAAATATTTTAATTTTGCTTATATATGTGGTAAAAGAAACCCAAAGGTTTGGCTATGCCTTTGAATCCCTTAAGCCTCTTCTCCCGGGCTGTTCCTCCTAGATCAGCTAACTTCAAGAATTTCACCTTCATCCAACTGAACGAAGAATTCTCAAGAGGCAAAGGATTAGACATAGGGGCTCGAGTTTGGAAAGGAAACAATGTTGTTCTCTTTTTTTGTGATGTGGATATATATTTCACAGCTGAATTTCTCAACACCTGTAGACTGAACACACAGCCAGGTACGACTGCTCGGGATTTACTGATTTGGGCAGATTTGTATTTAATTTTGTAATAACTATATGTTGGCAGAAGGAGACGGGAAGTTCAGCTATTGCAAGGTTTTCAGCTATTCCAGGGTTTTCCCTAAGGTACGTGTAACAGTATAGAACCTATACGGCTGATTGTCACACTTCAGTCAAGGAGAAGGCAAAAAGTTCTCAGCTCCCTCTACAAGCAACACCTTGCTTTTGTTGCTTGGTTTTCTATGGTCTGTGCAGGCCATGTTGGACAACTATATCCCCAGTTTCACATTCTGCACCCAGACCACAGGACTGTGGGTCTAACACCTCACCCCCAATGCAAGGCAACAGAAGTCTTTGTGTTGAATTCAGTGGAGCTTGGCCCAAGGCCAGAGTCTGTAGAGCAGAGGGGAGTACATTTCAGATGCAGTTTGAGAGCATAAAACAACGTACCAAATAACTTTCTTTTTAAAACTATTGTGATTTCTAGGGAAGAAAGTGTTTTATCCAGTTCTTTTCAGCCAATATAACCCAGGTATAATTTATGGGCACCACGATTCTATTCCACCCTTAGAACAGCAGCTGGTAAGTAACTAGCTCTCAAAATGCATGCTCTCAACTGTACATAACATTTCCCCTTCAGAAAGATGGATGTGCTCTTGAATGAAATTTCACTGATCTGTGTACACAGAGATGTGACACATTGAAAATGGAGCTTATTTATTCCCCTCATGACTGTGGTGTTCAGTGAGCTCTCTGGCAATGCTTTCCAGTCAAATAGTTTAAAGTGCTGCTTTATTTTAAAGCTTGTTTGATATTTACGTGTGGAAGCTAAAAATTTCAGCTTAGCTTGTGTGTCTGCCAGAAGCTACATTATGATCAACTCGCAGCAAATCCACCTTGGGGCAGCTTGGGATGATGGAACCTGTTGATGCTAACTTCTTTGGGAAATGGGGAACTGAATATTTCTCAGCCTCTTGTTTTATGAAGCTAAGCTGGATGAGTTTTGGAAAGACCATAGCAATTCATGGATAGATGATGAAACAGGTAATTGGTCAACAGTTTCCTTAGGAATCCAGTGGCTTGTCCGTTACCTGAGGGTCTTTAAACTGAGATAAGACACCTTTCTAAAAGTGAGGCTCTAGTTCTGTGGTTCTCAATATTTTTAGACTTAAGACACTTCTTGTTAGACTGAAGGCACCTTTCAGAAAACGTCAGCTCTTAGGTTTCATTTGTTTTTTACTACAGAAAAAAAAATTCAGCACTTCTCTTGCAAAGAACTCAGAAAAATCATACGGGTCAGAATGGTTTTGACACTATAGCTTCCCACTTGAAATCTCTGGTTTCATCTTGTGAATCATGTGTAGATATTTGCAGACACAACAGCACCCCATGGCAGCCTTACAAATATCTGATGGCACCCTGGCTGAGAATCACTGCTTTAGCTCAGGCACAAGTTGTTGGGATCCCTGCAGAAATCACCAAGCGAGGTGCTACGCATTATGTTGTGCAACAGGAGTCAGACTACAAGCTTATAACAGTCCCTTCTGGCCTTAAAATTGATGGACCAGAACCTCTGCTAGTGTCAATCATCCGTTGCTTTCCACTTCGCTCTAAGCATCTATGAATTCTAAAACACTATCCCTGGGTGTGCCATCTTAGTTCTGGCAAGATGTCTCCAGCTGAGGAGAGGGGGAAGTAGAGCACAGAGGGTCTGGAAGAGTCTGGGTGACAGAGTCAAGCAGCAGTGTTCTTTCTTTGGCACTCTGGCTGCACTTTTTGGTGGGGTTAAAGAAAGTAATTGCCCATTTCTCCAAAAACACACAGAAAATCAGTGCGTTCCTACTTCTCCGTCTACAAACACTGCTCACCCAAACAGGTCTCCATCCGTGGCTCCCTTGGCACCCCTCAGAATCTGAGCGGCGTCCCTTCCAGCTGAGAGATAACGCAGAGCTGCTGAATCAAAGCATTTACTTGCTTTGTAGCACATTTAGCTAGCTAGCTTTCTGACCCCAGCCAGCAAAAAGGCCTTAATGTCACTGCCACTGATGGATTGTCAAGGAACCTCCCAGCTCCATTGAGGCTTGTGGTAACCACTGGCTTCAGCAGCTGCTCTCAAACAGTAACTGTTCAGGGGGTCATCTTCATAAAGAGTTACTTCATACCCAAGAGTTAGGAAGGTAGGACTGCAAGATTTGTCTTGGGTTACTGAGTGCAATTGTCTGCTGCAGCAGGCAGCCATTCTAGCTAAGCCATGATAAAAGTTTAAAAGGAGAGATTTTCAGAAAGGCCAAAGGGTAAGAACAGAAGGGCACTGGACCAAGCTGCCCAGGGAGGCTCTGAAATCTCCTTTTCCTGGAGGCTTATAAGCAAAGGCTGGTGGGTTAGTAATAGCACATCCTGCATCTGTGAAAGACACTGCACTAGAGACCCTTGAAGTCCTTTCCTGCCCTGTGACTCTCTGAACACTGTGCTGGTTGTTGATTCACTAGAGGAGCCATAGCTAGATTTTCAGCAGCAAGTTAACTTTAGTTGTAAATAAACCAAAGGGCTGGGGGCAGGGATACCTGTGAGGCCACTCAGACATGCAACTGCATAAAGCCCCTGCTCCTAAGCAACCACCCACATCCAGTTTTGTACTATAAACATGCTAACATTAGTACAAGCCTCTCAAAAGGGTCAGTATTCTTATAACTACTTTTTGAAAGGTATTTTATAGCATTTGTCCACTGTCACTGCCCTTAACATGTCCAATACATTCCAAACTGGCTGACAGTCTCTACCTCAAATAGGTTCAGGATACTCTCCTGTCTATTGTAAAAATATAACTGGAGCTTAATTTAGAACCATACTCCTTGAAGGATGTCCAAGATAAAAAGCTTTTTCCTCTTTTTATTTATTGATTTTTTTTTTTAAACAGTAGTAAAACACTTATGATGTTGTTACATGTGAATTTATCCTCCCTATTGGAGGGGTTTATTACAAACAAAACCTCTCCTGTTGCCACCAGGGGATTCACTCGAGCTCTTATCTTTCTAGTGCACACTTAACCAGAGAATTTCAAGCTGGTAAACACTGAAGGCAGGAAAGGAAATAAAGAGTTTAGTTTGAAAGTTAAAGTGAATCCCACTGATCACTCTGTGGGGCCTGCACAAATATTTATAGGTAGCATCAGAGTTGTCAAACATGATACCTAGACTGGAAAAGCTTCTTAATTTAAAGAAGGGACATCACCAACCTAATTTTTCTTTAGTTAATCATATTTTCAGGCCAGATTGCTTTCTGGGCAAACAGCCAGAAAAGTGCCATTTAAACAAGCAGAGTTGGCTGCCTACCCCTGCTGCTTGTGCAGCTGAGAAAGTAGCCTGCATCAAGCCTTGAAATAAATTGATTTGTGCTGTAGCCATTAGTTCTAATGGGAAGTATTAATGCTAATGCATACAAATAGCTTGCTGTAAAGCCACTGAGATGGAGTTTTCCTGTTACAATGTAGGCTTGACAGACATCATCTTCTTGCTCACTAATGGGCTTGCAGTGTTTTTTTTCTCATTCCTTTTTTTTTCTTTTAAAAGCCATACATGCAGAAAAGGAAAAAAGAATGGAAAAAACAGGTGAAGGGTAGCCATGAATGGATATGTGAAAAGGAGTGCTAGAAGGGAAGGAAGAATGGCCTGAGGGTTAAGGAGCTACTGGGATATGGAATGCAGGTTTCAAATCCCACCTTGGTCATAGATAACCTCTGGATAAGGCATTTAGGCCAAGATTTTCAAAAGTAGCTGCCAAGGCTCCTAACAGCAGCATACCTAAGGGTAGGTAAGTGAGGCACCAGCTTCAGGCACTTCCTTAGAGGGGACACAAGAATGACAGCTGTTACTGGTCCAGCTGCTGCCTCTGCCTCAATCACCCTTGGTGTGCAAGCCACAAAACATCCTATATGCCTCTGGCTCCTAATCCAGATTTAGATGTTTAAATAAGCAGCCAGAATCTCCACAGTGCTGAGCATCCCACAGCTCCTTCACATGAAGCTGCTGAGTGACTCTGTACATTTGAAAATTAGGCTACTTGTGAGATTCCTAATTTAAAGGAACTAGTTTTGAAAATGTTGGGCTGTCTGTCTGCGCCTCAGTTTTCCATCTGTGAAATGGGGACAATACCACTTTCTTTGCTATTTTGTCAAAACTGCAAGCTCTTTCAAGGTTTAGATTCAGACCTTAGAAACATAGTTGGATCCACACTTTAGAGTAGTCCCAAGGCTATTTTAAACTACTTCTGGGCTCTCTGAATACAAATAATTGTCACAGGCTTTTCTGCTATTTGGCAATTTGTGAAAGATTTTAAGCCATTATTCTGCCAGTCAGACTAGCTCTATCGTTGGTCACATTAGTACAGTACATTCAGTAGGTACAGTACATAATAGTCACACTAGCACTTCTACAGTGACTCTGTTGTTAGAAAGAACTCAATATCACTCTACTTGGGCACTGCTCTTGGAACCTACGGTCAAAGATATCACCCCATCCCCATCTGTCTGTGGAGTAAGTTTGGTTCACTGATTTTGTTAAAATACTACCCAAGACTGATTCAGCTCCCATGAAAAGTAAGCTACGCTGTAAAATAACAGGAGGTATGTGTCACCTACAAAAAGGTCTCTGGAAGGTGCCTCCCATGATATTTTTGTGAGTCTGAAGACAGACTGAAGCAATAGCTCTGAAAATGCTGGACTGTCCCACATTTATCTTACTGGGGTGTCAACTCCCATAACTAATGGTAATTTGGCAAAAGCATCCAGCAGAAATCTGCTGGAGCAAAGTTGGGTGTAGTGGGGGGAATGTAGCTAAAAAGTGGGGTAGCAGTCCCCATTCTGGCCTCATCCAAATGGGGGGTGGGGTGTGTTTTTCTTTCATTCAAATTGTTAATATAATTGCTCACATATAAATGGCCTTTCCCCCCAGGTTATAAAAAAGGAAACTGGATTTTGGAGAGACTTTGGGTTTGGAATGACTTGCCAGTACAGGTCTGATTTTATCAACATAGGTAAGAACATTTGCTTAAGAGATCCTGCTTTAGCACTGCCACATAGGAACTTTGGGTCAGCTTCTCTTTGCTGCTCAGTCACTGTATGCCCCTCTGCTAATCTCAGCTGGCATATCAACTAATGGTGGGAGGTGTCACAGCCAGTTGTTGGCATACCTTAGAGCAGCTCTAAAACTATTCTAAACTGCTTCAGGGTGCTCTGGGTTCCCCAACCCACTCTGTTACATCCAAGGGTTATTAGACACAGGTAAGAACTTGAACCATTGGGTTGTATATCTGTGCATGTTCCTCTGAGCTAATGGAGATCAAGAGTCAGAACTGTGTTCTGAGGAGATAGCAGTTTCCAAGTTCTGTGTTTAAAGTCTCCATGAAGCTTCTGTCTTTGGAAGGGCTAAGAGAAGATTTGCTGGATAAATCCTGCGTTGACTAATCCAGAGCTTTCCTCTGATATTTTCAAAGCAAGTTCACTTCTTGTGGAAGATAGGTGGCCCTGATTGCCATCAGACTGAGCTCCAGGCACCCATTTAATTCTGGGCATGTGCTCCATAGCTAACCTTACCCACTGGTTAGCTTTTGTCAGGTGGGATCTCTGAACATGGGCAGGGTCATGGACGTTTATAACTGCCAATCAACCCCATGCCCGTTGCTTGTGTCCCTGGAGCATTTCTGCTGGCTAGAACATGGCCTATCAAACCTCACCTAACATTATCTTGTCAACAACTAGTTGTACCTAAAGAGACATCTATTGCCACAATGGACTCCAAAGCAAAGCTTCTCTTGGTGGTAGTGATGCTGGATTGGGCCTTGAGAGTACAGGCTCAGCAGTAACACCTCTGGCCAGTGACCCAAAGTTTTCCCAACTCTCTGCCCTTAAAGCCAAGGCCTGGGAAAGCAGAAGAGCTGTGCATTTTGTCCTGATGGGGATCCAGCTAAGAATGTGGTAGCCTAGTCCCAAGTAAAAGTCTCTCTACAGCAAACACCAGTTCTACCCTGGAGGAGGGCTTGGTTAGACTATGACTCCACCCCTCCACATCTCAGCCCCAACTCATGAGCCAAGGTTGGAGTTGATCCATTAACAATTAGCATTGGGTTTAGAAACCTTATGGTAACCAGTCACCTATGGCAAAGTTTAAATGTCTCAGGGCAGTAAATTGGGTGCCCCAAGTAACAGAGATGCAGTCAACACAATCCAGTGATGCTTGGAGGAGCAGGGAGGTGCCTACTTCCTGTTTCCCCCTGTCTCTCCAGACAGCCCTCTAGTTTTTTCCCCTAGTACTTTTCCCCCCACCTCCAAGAACTGGCAAGGGGTAGGTGACCTAGAGCCAGCAGGCTGTCAACTCCTTGGCTAGAGCCCCACCAGTTACTTGAGTCTCTGCAAGTTTAAAGGCCCTTAGAAAATCAGAAGCCCCAAATAGCTGGAAGTCCCTAACTCCCCTGAAGCTGCTTATGCGGGCACTGTTTTCTGGCACAAAAAGCTCCACTGAAAGCTGCTGTCAGCAAGCAGAGGAATCCCTTGCAGGTGCATCCCATGAATCAGCATTGCACTAGATGGCGGAGTGCAGCCAGGAAAGCCAGCACTGAGCGTATCACAAAGGCAGACCTCACAAGTCTGTCTTCTACATCCCCATCATCAAGCAGGACTCCATTGAGCAATGATAACGGTGACTGGGGAGGGTCTGTGGCTGTGGCAGGCTGAGCCAGGCATTCCCATCTGCTCATTCCTATAGACTATCATGAGACTGAAATGGCTCCCTCTGGTCTCAGCTTGTTTGTTATAAATGCAAAGTTGCTCAGTAGCTTGCCCAGTGAACCCAGCCCTCTGTAAATCACTCCCTTCTCTGCAAGGACCCAGCTGCCCCTCATTCAGAGCAGCCCACACAAATGGATGTGCTTTGCTTAGTACTTGGGACTAGTTCAGACCCAGAAGGGAAGGTTGTTCCAGAATACAGAGAATGCCCTCTCTCTGCCTCCCACAGAAGCCACTGGGCTTGTTTGAAAATCGTAAGTGCAGATCACAGACAACAGTTTCTCTCTTGAGTCCATGTGTGACTTTCTCTCAATACCCTACTTTGTGCCTGGTTACAAAGGTCAAGAATAAAGAAAATTCAGCTGCAAGCTTAAGCTGATCTGTCACTTAGGAAACATGACATGAACTTTAAGAGCTGCTTAGTGAAAACAAAGCAAATTTGTTTGTCACAGGGCAGTGAAAATGGACTTTTATAAAGCAAGGAAATTGGGCATTTCCTACTGTTGGCAGAAAGTAATCCAACTTTAAAGACAGGCATGAAAGTTACAGACTATAGGGAAGAGCTGAGAGACAATGTCAGTATTAAGTTCACCAGGAGATGCGTCTGTCCCTGTCGGGTTTTTCCATTCAGAGAGTACAACTTTCTACATCTTCTTTGTGCCAGGTGGTTTTGATCTGGATATCAAAGGCTGGGGAGGAGAAGATGTGCATCTGTACCGCAAATACCTCCACAGCAACCTCATTGTGGTCAGAACGCCTGTGCGGGGCCTCTTCCATCTCTGGCATGAAAAGCGGTGCTTGGATGAACTGACCCCAGAACAGTACAAGATGTGTATGCAATCCAAGGCCATGAATGAGGCCTCCCATGGCCAGCTGGGGATGCTTGTCTTTAGACATGAGATAGAGGCTCACCTACGCAAACAGAAACAAAAAGTGATCAGTAAAAAGACATGAGCCCAGAAAGGTGGGGTTTTTTTGAAGTTTCAAAGCAGCTGCTTCAATAGAAAAGGTGACAGAGTTAAAAAGTTGGTGCTGGCAGCAGGAAGAGGTGAGGAAATGCGTATACTTCCTTTCCTGTCTTATGACAGCTTGCCAGTTTTCCATTTATCCTGCTTTCCTGCACTGGCTCCTGCTATGGAGTTGACAACAAAGGCAAGAGATGATCTTGAGAATCAAGGTTGCAGAGATCAGTAGCTTGCATCTGATACTTGCATGACATGTGCAGCAACAAAAGAATTTGCATTTCATTGAAATATTCTTGCTTGACGACAGCAGCCCTGATTCTATGAAGACATGGGTCCACCTCTAACATACCTTGGGTGTAAATGTCTGTAAACACTAAAAGGGGCTTGAGTTTTAGAAAATGTGCAGAGCACCTGCCCTTGGGGGTTGGGCAGGGGAGGGGGAAGAATCACTCTAAAGTCACAAAAGTGAAGATAGCCCCAAACCATAGTCACTTTTGAGAATTTGAGACTGGTGCTCTTAATGTTGGATAGTAGAGGCATTCACATTTAGTTTCATAGAGATAAGTTTCTCAGACAACGCTTTCTAGAACCCAGGAAGATTTCACAATAAAATGTGAAATTCCAAATACTGGAGCATACTGTTATACTCCACTATCGTATTAAACCAAAAAATGTCAAGCCATATCTTGGAACTTTTATCCAGACTAAACTGGTACTATGTGTTCTGTTCTACATGCTCATTTTTTTGTCTTTTTTTTGTGAGCTTTTTTGCTTGTGAATTCTTTTGTGCGTATTTAAGTTTTCTACTTCAGGCCTTATTAAGAAATAGCACAACTTCAAGGATATTTTGAAAGTAGTTTGTATCCAAATGTGTCTCTTGCTAGGCATCTGTCCTGCAGCTGAAATGCGCACTTTGCTTCTGATATATTGATAGAGATTCACTGATTGGAAGCAGAGTGCTCTTAATACAGCACCTGGGCACTGGAAAAGAAGGAGAAAACTTTCCATTCTCAGAAAAGGAAATGAATACCATTTTGTGATCTTGATTTAGCAAGAGATTTTAAATTAGGAATGTTATAGATGGCAAAATGAATGAGGGATCACATTGTGACTTGTTTATACCAAAGTATTCAGTATAAACCAAATGTAATGTCTTTCTCAAGTCATAGTAGGCTTAATTTCTTTTTTTTAAATTAATATGAAAAATGTTTTTGTGAAAGAATTTAGAGCCTGTTATCTTAGATCCTCTGACAGTGTTCCTAAGTACTTCCAAGAAACTGGTATACTTTTTAATATTTTTTGATTGACAATTTCCTACTGCATTGTTAAAATGTCCTATTACTATTATAAATATTGTTTGAACGCTGTCTGCTGTGTCTTTCTGGTTCTAATATTTATTAGTCAAAAACCGGGTGCTTCGGGTAGCTATCTGCTTGCTTATTTATCTTCTGTTTGACTCTGATCTCATTGTTTGTTAGCTTCTGATTCATTCAGGACATTGGGAAACACACCTGCATTGTAACGATGTGATATTGTTATCCTGTAGAAAGTCAGGTGAAGGAAAATGCAAGATAGCACTGAACAATGAATAAAATATGATTTATACTGATATTGTGCAACAGGAAATACCACCCAGATAATTAACTCTTTGGAAGCATCCTTTTGCAGAAGGTGCAAGCTAAGAACAGATCATTCCACATACTCCTTTGGTATACTGTGTGCTAGTAAAAGTGTCTGTCTCTTTTTAACTTGTTAGAGATGAACAGTATGTTTTTTTCATAAAATCTAAGACCAGATAGTCAAAGAGCCTCAGGCTGAATTTATTCAGTCTTTTCAGGTTAGTTTAAGCTGAACATGTTGAGTTGAAACAGAAGTGAACAAACATTTACCTTTAACTCAGGAAATGCAGCCACATGCCTGCAGTGACTCAGGCCAGAAGCTGAGGCTGCTATCACTTCCTCTTCCTGCTGCCTCTGAGGTGTCTGGGATTTGCAGTCCAGACTTACAGCAGCAGGACTCTGCAGGGTTGCTGATCACTTCATCTTCCAGGTGCCTCTGGGATTTGTAGTCCACAGTTGCAGTCAGCAGTAAGTTTGAGTAGGCGAAGGGGTGTTTAACTCCCCTCCCTGGCCCTAGACCCCAGCTGTGGTTTGCCTGGAGGGGGCCAGTCCCCCCACCCTGTAGACTGGGCTGCATCCCTAGCTGGGCTTGACCCCCTCCCCCCACTCCCTTGTCAGGCAGCCCTCACTACTCCAGCTAGGCAGTAGAGGGGCGAGGATAGTGCTGCTCTCTGGAGCAGACAGCACAGCCCAGGCTGCAAAATGCTGGGATTTTGGGGGACTCTGATTTAACTTAAACCAGGAAGGGGTCTGGGACAGAAGTTCCATAAACCAGTTTGGCCCAAATCAGTTAAGTCTGATATTACATTCAACCAGGTTTATCTTAAACCAGTTTCAGCTATTTTTAAACTGGTTTATGTGCACTGAGCTTCTGTTCTGTTACAGGTTTAAACCAGTTTCTGACGACTTAAACCGGTTTATGTGTAACTTGTGTCCCTAGCCTAAAGGTCTTAGAGAACACCAGGCATTATTGTACTCTAGACCCACTGAATTATAGAGATTCAAGGGGTTAAGACCCCAGATTTAGCCTGTTTGAAGAGTATGTTGGTATCAAGTGGATTAAAGATTTGGTATTCAAAATAGGTATTCAAAATATCAATTTATGTAAAAGGTACATTGCCTATGAAAAGAATGTCCAAGCTCCCTTTTGTTAGGCTCTACAAAAGGTATTTTTCTACCCATGCATGGCAGCTCTAGAACACATCCTGCTTTCAAAGCAATGAAGAGATCATAGAAATAATGCTAATACACCAATAGAGGACACAGGAAGAGATTTGTTTGAACATAGCCCTTGTACATAGCTCATTCCTGCAAGACTGATTGCTTTCCCCCACCCCCAGGCTCAGTAAAATGACCTGAAAGTAGGTGCAGCATCTGAAGGTACGAATACTTAGTACGTTTGCACCTGTGCAGTTTGTCTTTGCAACAGTAAAAATGGGGACTGGACAAATGAGTTACAGACCTCAACGTGTCCTAGAGTCCTTCCACTCTGGGATAAAGTCACCCCTCAAAAGTGAGGAGTAACAACACATTGGTGTGCAGCTCTAGACAGTCTCAGCAGGGCTAGTGGATTTCATTCCAGGCCAGCTCTTTTCCTCAATGTGAAGAAGCTGTTGCTGGCTTGCCTGCCACCTCATGGCAAGTTGTCATAATAGTAACTCCTGTGGACATCTATCTGATGAGAGCTAGTCCTCTGTCTGCTCCAGACACCAGTATAACTTACACATATGCAAATATATCATGGATCTGCATCCTGCCAAAAAAGGGTCTGAACACATGCGACTCATTGCAAGTCTATTTGCATTTATGCCTTCCTCAGTCCCATGAGAAATATGGTCCTATGGGCCATCCTCCCCCTTATGCTGTGTGCTTATGATAGACCTGGGTATACGTAAATCTTCATATTTACTCATCCTTGCCAATGTAGCAATATTTTCCTTCATCCCCTTTTAGGGCAAAGCAAGCTAAGCTTTTAACAGCTTTGCTCAGATTCTCAGCTCTCCACTCTGCCTCTGCCTTGCTGGCTCACTGCCCCCACAATGCAGAGCCTGATTGGGAAAGGGCTGGGATTGAATTCATAAGGATGGGAGCCAGCCGGTGCTCTAGGATGGTGCTCTTTTATAGAATGGCTGCTCATTAATTACAGCAGAGGTAAGGGCTTTGCAGCCTGCCCTACTGCAGAGAAAGTTAGAGATGCAGTAGGGTTGGTCTGTGGAAGGAGGCAAAAAAGACCCTTGTCTGCTGTTCTTATAATAATAATTGTCCTCCTGTGATGCCATGTGAAATGGCAGCAGGTTTTCAAGCACAGTTATAAGCAGCAGCAACCCAGAACATATGCAGTTCATGAGCTGGTAATGTGCAGTTTTGCTTGTGCTCTTCCTCCACCTCCCAAGAACCCCCATCTACCTGCCCTTGATCATAAGGAGCCAGTCTAGGCCCCTTACCCTTTTGATATCCGAGAACACCCTTGGGATTGTGGGCTTGATTGTGTCCTCCTGCTAATTTTGGTGCAAGAATCCTCTCTGCTTAGAAGCTAGGCACAGTAGCTCTGCTACAAGCCCTGACCTCTGCCAAGTGGTAAATGGAGAGGGCCCCAGGTAAGACTGGAGGAAAATGTGGAAGGTTCTCTGTTAAAAGTGTACATAGCAGCAGCCATGCTTGGGAGGAGATCCCTGCTAAAGGAAGGAGCCTCTGTAGTGGACCCCAGCCTCTCATTTTGCTCTGGATACACAGGCACACAGTGTCCTGAGGCCAATGGCACACAGGAAAGGTAGGGCATAGGAGAGGACAGATCATCTCAACCATGCTGACCTTTTAATCATATTCAGCTTAAAGGGAAGCAAGAGCATTTCAAGATGTTGAGGCTCATGGTGTGACTTAGTCACAAGACTGTAAGAAACCCTAGGAGGCGGCAGATCTGACAGCAAGGCAATCTTAGGGAAACCTGAAATGGAGGCCTAGTTCCTCTGCTGGAATAAACCAACCAGTTGCATTCATTTCAGCAAAGCCATGGAACAGGCTACCCAGACAGGTTGTAGTTTCTCCATCCTGAGAGGTTTTTTAAGACCCAGGTAGACAAAGCCTTGGCTGGGATGATGTAGCTGGCGATGGTCCTGCCACGAGCAGGGCGTTAGACTAGATCAGCATTTCCCAACGCATGAAGTTGCAACCCAAGAGTGGGTCACAGGAATATATGAAAGGGTCACAGACAAAGTTTAAAAATGGATTCTCCTTTAAAGGAGAAAAACCTCAGAAACTATGTTTTTTCCCTTGCAGAGTTCCAGCCTGCAAGGGGCTGCTTGAGGCCCCCCCTGGCCCCACACACTGGGGGGCTGAGGGCTTTGGGTCAGGAGTGAAGAGCACTGGGTTGGGACTGGCCATCAATTTTTACAAATGGTCCTGGTACAAAAAGGGTTGAGAACCACCGGACTAGATGACCACCTGAAGTCCCTTCCAACCCTCATTATCTATGATGCTGTGTGCAGCTGCTGCAGATTTGACAGAGGTGCTGAATGTGACAAACCCATGTAGTTCTCAGTTGCCAGTATCTTTGCATTACATCAGCTTGACCAGACTGCGTAAGCAAGAGCAAAATGGCGACCACCACTTCTTTAATCCAGACCGATGCTGTGCTGCAGGCCCAGGTGCTCCAATAGGGCCATTAAAAACTGCAGTAACTTCAGTGCTGCTTTTCCCTTTCAATACTTCTCCAAAGCATGATGTCACAGCAGCTATTGTGTGCAGCAAGGGCTCTAGCAAAGCCTAGAACAGGCGGATGACTCTCCTTCCTAGGCAAGGGCTTGGCAGCTGCCCTGAGCCACAACCCTCATGACAATATCTCTGCCCCTTTAACGGAGCCTGGGGTTAGGCTTGTGCCCCACAATCCTAGCCAAAACTCAGCTCCTTATTTAAGGCCATGTACTTGATACATCATATTATTTTACATTTTTATTAGTAAATATACATTGGTGATGAAATTCCATCTCTGTCGCGTTTTGAATTCACTATGGACAACCTGGGATTGTGTAGAGATCAGATTTGAAAAAAGCAACCAGGAACTGTGAATAAGGATCCAACTTCAGCCTCATCTTGAGGCCCTGGTTCTGGAGGAGCAGCATTGCCAGGCCTTAAATATGAAATTATGGCATTGGAAGTTCAAAAATCATTGGATTTGCTGAAAAACAATTGTACACTTAAAAAGCATGCATATAAACATGCAAATAACTCTTATTATTTACTTTATATTGCTGTCTATAAGTCACCAGTGAGTGAGTGAGAAGTGGGTCATCCAAGTTGAAGCATTTTTTTATTTTGTGGCAAGCTGTCCTAAGAAAGTGCTGACAGCAAGCCCAAAAGTGCCACCAGCACTTCTCTCAAGAGGTGCACGTGCACCCACATGCACCCCCTACGCATCACCAATGGCCATGTCAATTTACAGTAGCTGGAAACCTGGCCCAGACTACATGGGCTGGCTCACAATCTCTGCCCTTCTTGTCTGTCAGGTATTGCTGACTTCAGTGGAGCTCTACCAAGTTATAGTATCTTAGCAGGCATGTTGCTGATGCAAAGGGTCTAAAGCTCTGACTCTACCATCATCTCTTGAAAAGGTAACTCATTAAGTGAAGTATCTTCATTGCCCCACAAGTAAACAAAACTTGTTTTATGGTTCTGGGCTGTTGATGTCTCTATAGAAATGAGTCTTTGTTGTTTTTGGAACTAGAAACAAAGATCTATGGACGTCATGTAATCCTGGCCAGATTTTCAAAAGTACCCCTTTTTCACTGGCCTCTTCAAATAAGTGCTTACCTGGGAAAGGAGCTTTTTCATTGTATTTTGTTTTGTGTTTTTAATCCAGCTCCAGCTGTGGTTGCTGAGTGTTTTTGCAAATGTGCCTTATAATTTGGAATTACCCCAAAATATGGAGTTATTGGCAGACTGCTAGTTACCAGAAACATCAAGCACTGACATTTAGCCTGACATTTCTCCTGAC